TTCAAAATGAATTTGAAATAATAAATGAATATTAAAGGTTCAAACAGGTAGGACATGCATTTGAGAATTGAGATAGGCCTGGCCTGAACAAGTGAATAATTCCTAAAAACTGTTTTGGCTGCTGTTTCCTAGTTCTGACGGTCCAACCTTCCGGTCCCGTCCGAGTCTGACGAAACAGATGTGTATGATTTTGTTAATTCACACACAAGAGTCAAGACTTGACAAGGCACAGGCTTCGGTTCCAACAAAAATGTATTCAATTTTCTTCCAAAGGTGGTCCTGTTTTTGCTTTGATTTCTTCTACAGAGATTATTAATGATACATAAACAAACACAGAGAGGTTGCCTCGCTCTATACTGTCCAAATGCGCCATAACTGCCCCAAATATCAAAGGGGCCCTATGGCCAAGTCCTGTGATTGTACCATTGTCCCAGTCCCCCCACCAACCCAAAAAAGCCCATATTTTTTTTCTTCGTTGGTAGCTATTGGGTCCATTATCAGTCATGATCAGTCACTACAATGATGAAGACGACTCTGGGGTTCAAAACCCATGGACCTCACTCTATAGTAGACTAGCATCTTCTTGTCTCCCCAAGTTCAATATACCATCAATTGATTAATGGGGTTGGAGGCCTTTTGAAATCAAAAGGAGATGGAAATTATTTTCCACTCTAGTTTTTCTGCTGTATAAAAGGCCAAGTTTCATGGCTTTCTCTGTACTAGCGAATCTAATTAAGCCTAATTACTTTGTTTAAAAAGAAAATAGAGAAAGAATTGTCAAACAACATATTTGTGTAAAACCTAAAGCTTGGAATTAAGCTTGAATAAAGTAAATAATGCTTATAGTTTCATTTCCTAGGCAACTCTTCCAGGAAAATGAGATGTATATAACCTTAAATCTTCCAAACTGAAGCTTTAAGGTGGTAGTACAGAAAACAAGTTTATTACATGTCTCACCACATAAATTAGTCCTTTTTTTCCTGCTTCTATAGAAGTGGAATCAATCTTTGGGTACAGTCAGGATTGCACAAAGTCATCTTAGGGGCAAGGCGGGCTATATCCTCTCCTATATTGTTATTTCTTCCTAATATGAGCTTTAAATTAAGGCTCCACGTAGATTTCAGATTTTTCTTTGAAAATCATACTATGCACCGTATAAAAAAAAAAAAAGACAAATTTCAATTCCTGATCACACATGAGTAGTTGTGTCAGCTTTGCCATGATCAGATTTTATTCTCTTATTCTTTTTGTAAGGGCATACAATATAGACTGGCCTTCAATTTGGAATAGTTGAAGGCCCCTCAAGGCAAATTCAATCATCAACAACCAATCTCAGGTTTATATTTCTTGTACAATCAAATTTGCCCTAACCGAGGAACTTGAGAAGCAACGCAGCAATTGATTAAAGTGAGAGCGTCGCTCTGAACCATTAGATGCAAAATGCCCACTAAAACCAGTTTCGTAGTCTCATGAAGAGCAAGTGCCTCTGACTCTGAGATCAGCGGGCTGTTTTTTTTTTTTTTTGGAACGGAACTGCTCGTGCAAGGAGGAGTTTCGCCAGAACTGTTACGAAGGACAATCCCACCGCCAGAGGTAACATTCCCAACTGCACCATCCACATTAAGTTTCACCATTCCTGCCGGAGGTTTTAACCATCTCTCAACATGAAGATCCAATAGTAATTGAGAAGTGTTGTCGGTTTTGTATACATTTGGAAAGAAGGTGTAATTATTGTTGATGTAAAATTATATTTTGGTTCAATTTTTTGGATGGAGTGTAGTTTTACATTGATAATCGATGTAAAACCTTATCAACTCTAAAGGTTTACATCGACAATCGATATAAAAACTACATCAATTATATCGATGTAAAACTTTAAACTCTTCCACCCATCACTATTTTTAAAAAAGTAAGTCACATTCTGATTCCGTGTAAAACGTTATCAATATATTTTTACACTGATGCCGTTTTAAGAAATGAAGTGATTTACAATTGATCCACCTGCTTTTCTTCTTATTTCTAGAGTCACTCATTTGTGGGTATTATTTATATATCAACGTCTCATCCAATTGCATTGATTCAACCCCCACCCATCTTTTTGTCTGTGACACTATGTCCTCAAAATTCCTTATGATGATCGTGGGAAACCTTTCGTGTTTACTTGATGCTGGAAACCACGGATACCTGAAACTTTCTCTCTTTTTGGATCATTGTTTGAGGCTTGGTAGTTCTTGTTACACTTCATTTACAGAGCCAGGGTTTAGGAAATAGGGTTATAAGACAAAGGATACAAATATAATTCAGCCACTTTAATTCCTTAATGGTGAAAACACCATGACCCCACTATCATACATACAACAGGGCACAACAATAAAGGGAGAGGCAAGAGGTCCTATTCCTCCCAAGAATCATTTCCTTGACCCATGGGCCATCTTTTCTATATAATAGTTTTGTTTTGTCCTTGAGCTTAATTATTTTTATTCTCTTTAATTTTGGCCCTTGAAAGAGCAAAATAAGATATTTGAAGTTTGAATAGGATAAACATTTTGTTTCTGGTTCAGTTTTGACATCTCTTTGTTTGCAACTATGATCTCTTACTTGATGCTAAATTTGCAGTCATTAACAGTGCATATTTTGCATCCTAAAAATTCATACAAAATTTGCATCACCTTCTTTCTACCCTAATTATTTCCCATGTAAAGTGGTGATTATATCAATTTACTTTCTACCACCATTTTCATCCATATAAAGTGGAAACCAGATCAGTTTACTTTCTATTTTACTTATTATAAACAAACAAAACAAAGTAAAACTTAGAAACAAAGAGTACCAAAATTTACATGTTTGCACTCAGATGCATTTACACCAAGGTTCAAAATATCGATATGCCGATAGAGGCATATCGGGCATTTTGATACTTTTTTTTTAATTTTTTTTTCAAAACTGGTTCAGGGGAACCGGTCTAAGACCTTTCCATCCCTTGGACCGGTTAGACCCTCAATAGACCCACTGTAGGGGCAAATCGGAAGGGTCCCAAAATGATATGTATTGACCGATACAGGTCGATACATAATAATACTTTGAACCTTGATTTACACCGGTGCTATATGCCCACATATTATTTATATCCTTATAGGGGTAAAATACAAAGCTATACTTGGGGGGTAGTGGCACTTAAGGTCGCAAAACTTTCATTTGTGATACAGCCATAGAGGGCGGCTACCCTGTACTATTCTAACACTCTGTTCGTGCTGTCAGCATTCACTTAGTTATTGCTGGTTAGAAGCAATATTGACGGATGTTCTATAAATACAAGTATGTAGAGTGTAAAATCTTGAATTTTATATATATTTATACTGTATATATTTGTATTTGTACTCCTTTCAAACGGAACTTTAATAAATTAAAAAAAAAAGAAATTAAAGAAGATGGAAAAAAAGTTTAAAACTTGAGTTTTGGAGATACAATAAAGGAGAGGGCAACATTGTTCATAAAATTTAAAGTTCAAGATGCTAACAATTAAAGTAGAGAGTTGTAATGTGAAAGTACAAGATAGCTATTTTTTGCTAATGAAAGTTTAGATGTTGCTAGAACATAGGAGTAATAAATCAGGGTTGCAAACATACTGTATTGAATCAGGTTTTCCTAGATCGAGATTTGATATGTTAATATTTACATTGGAACTGAATCTTATCCATTGTTCCGATCAGACTGCAATTGATTTAGGACATTGAACACCATTAATAAATTATTAATCAGACTACAGTAGCAAAAAAAATCTATTAATCAGACTAAGAGTAGATACCATATTTTGTAATAAAACGAACTAACATTTTATATGTTTTAAAACAAAATATAATAGAGCCTGGATATTCACTTGTTCCACCCCTTGGGTTTAAGTTTAACTAAAATAACTTACAACCACAACCCCTTTGATCAGGAAGCTAAAGGATGTTTTTAAACCAAAGGGATTGAATTAAGATGTTAATAATATGTATTTTGCAGTTATATATATATATATATATATATATATATATATATATATTGTAAATGCAATTTCTGTCTCAAATATTTATTTTGTTTAATACCTTCTTGATCCCATTTTCAACCTTTTAATTTATGGTGGGGAAAAGTTTGTCCCTTGAAAAAGTATAAATAAAGGTGAAAAAAAGTAAAATGATTAATTAGTTCACATTTTAAAAGATATATTTATTATTAATGACTTTAATAATGTTAAAAATGTCATTGTAACATGTAGCTTTTTTTTTTTTTTTTGTAAAATGCATCATAATTTTTGTCTACCTTACAAATATCTCCCATGCACAATTATGCTCTATCAAGAATCTTATTATTAATTATTTTTTTTTCTGTCAAATTGTTGCTAGATTAAAGCATGTATGCTTTGTTTTATTACAAAATATATTATAACTGATTGGACTTGAGTCATTGGGTGGACAATTGGAGTTCAAATTTGGACAAAGAAATGCCATTTGAAGCCCAATAATAAATATTTATTTTCTCCTTTTTGTTGCCTTCTTTTCCCGTTAATATCAGGACTCAGGAGAGGGTTCCACTTCCATCCGTCTAGAATTTTCACAAGTGTTAAATGTGCATTGGGCAGTACTTTTCAAGCTTCCAACCCTTCCAATTGACACGTTTTAAGGACCACTTGCCACCTGGCACCGGCAACTCCATCAATTGCCGACGGTAGAGGACTCCGATCCAAACATCATCGCTCTTCTAATTCACCTCATTTAATTGTTAATTAATTTTTTGGGTGGATTGTTAATCAATTAATTAACACGTATAAATCGATTTCAGCAAGTCTAATGTCTAAAAGGACTGTATCAAGTAGTATTTTTCAGTCCATAACCATACTGCCTGCTTACTTGTTGACTTGTGGTTGGGTTTTAAGAGAAGTTTCAACGTCCCTTCGCCGTCATTCTTTAAAAAGATTAGGGACATTTCAGAAGTCCCTCTCCTTTATAAACTCCGCAGCTCCTCGCCACCCAAATTCATCTCTCTCTCCTGAGTCCTGAAGCTTGTCAGATTTTGTCCAGATAATGAGCTGTATCTGTTCGTAGTTAAATATTCAGAAAGGGAGACCCAACACCAACACCTACCTACACAGCCAAAGACGAAAGCAAGCTTCTAGTTCTTAGCCTCCTCTCTCTCTCTCTCTCTCTCTCTCTTTTCATTCTCTTGTTTGCCATGGGCTTTCCGATAGGTTATACCGAGCTTTTCCTTCCAAAACTTCTTATTCACACGCTGTCTTTTCTGGGCTTCATCAGAAAGTTTATCTCCTGGTTTTTTCGCTTTCTCGGTCTGGGGGATTTCCTCGAATCCGACATTGTTTGGCCGGACCGTCCCACCCATGTCCCTGAATTCCATTCCGTCTCGGCCATTCTTATCCGAGAAATCCTACCTGTCGTCAAGTTCCAAGACTTGGTTTCCACCGACGGGGAGACGCCGGACAGCTGCGCCGTTTGCCTTTACGAGTTCGAGGGGAACGAAGAAATCAGACGGCTGACCAACTGCCGACACATTTTCCATCGGAACTGTTTGGACCGCTGGATGGATCATGATCAGAAGACCTGCCCCCTATGTAGGACTCCATTTATACCTGACGATATGCAGGAGGCGTTCAACGAGCGGCTTTGGGCTGCTTCTGGAATTCCTGATGTCTATGGCGAGTACTCCTCCGTTTCGGCTTTGTAGCTCTTTTTTTTTTATTTTTTATTTTTAGCTCTCAAGGTTTCCAAAAACTTGACAAAAAAAATGAAAAAATAAAAAGAAGGGATGATGTTTTCTTTGTTGAGAGGCGACTAAGATGTATATAAACGAATATTTAGATAAAAGAAAAAATAATGGAAAATGCTTCCGGGAACCGGGGAAAAGATTGATTTTTGTATATTTTTTATGAAACTTAGAAATTGTGGTCTCGTGAAAAAGTAATTCTCTTCTTTCTTTTGTTCTCGGTAGACTCGAAAATCATGGATGTGTAGTTCTAGCCGGAAACCAGTCCAATTCCGGCCGTCGGAGGGGAAACTGGTGACCAATTTTTTAAGTACATCCGGACATCTGTATTTAATTGTTTAACGACTTTTTTTTCCTTTGGATCTAATTGGTTAGAATCAAATGGATATGTGCAGATCAATGATCAAGGATTAGTGACCCAGAGAGAGGAGGCATAAAAGCATTAACAATGAAATTTAATTGGTGAGTTAAAGACTTTGCGGAATTTGGGGCAGGCATGTAAAATGTTTAATCCAGATGCAATGAACCGGGGCTCATCTCCTGTTTTCACGAATGATATGGATTTATTGTTGTGATTCGGAATTTTTGTGTTCTTCCCGAGGTGGGTTTTGAACTTGAAATTCAGGAGATATGTTTCTAGTCGGGAATTTAATGCTGGTAACTGCCCTTCATTACTTGAAATTTGAAATCTTTCGGCTCCGTTTGAAAGGGAAGGAGTACAAATACAAATATTTGTACAGTGTAAATACATATAAAATACAAGGTTTTGCACTCTACATAGTTATAGTTGTATTTGAGCTCCTCTTCAACGCAGAGTGAGCCAAGTGCTTGAATGCCGGTTTTTTCTTCTTTTATATGCTCTGCAGCTCCAATCATCCCATGGCAGGCAGGTTGAAGTGCTTTTGTTTCAATTCTTTTTATAAATATCTGAGTGACTTTTGACAGAAAAAGATGAAGAGAAATAAAAGAGATACCAGTCCACTTTCTGAACCATTTATCAAGACCCAGGACCGGAGTCCAGCGCTGTGGTTGCCTGAGAGGGCTGAGAATATTTGATAATGGCCAACCCCAAGTCGCCGGCGTTACATGTTTCTCGACGTTCATCTAGTTGTATTCCCCCCTCCCTCTTATAAATGCCTCACATTATTAGCAGAGGCTTCGATTATAAACTCTAAATCCTACCTCTTTTGTGCAGTCCACAACATGGTAACAGGGCTACCAGAAGGCACTTAGCTTGTGTGAGTTTACTTTAAAGAAATTTCAAAGAATGTTGTGTTATCAATTGGCTAAGATATGATTTCGGAAATGGGATGTTGAACGAAGGAGCGTGAATTGGGAGAGAGGCGCAGAGATTACAAACAAATTGCTCCTCGTCCTCGGTATGATGGGCGCGCTTTGCAAATCTGACAGTAATATGTTTGTCAACAAGAGTTCCATTTCATATTTCCAACCCAGAAAGTCAGAAACAACATGATGATGACCTGCCAAGCTGCCAGAGAAGAGGGTTGTATGGGGCCATGGAGTTGAAGCCTGGAGGGTCTAGAAGGTGTTTGTGCAGAAGTGTTGGTGAACGGTGCCGGTCCACACACAATTCCACATGGCTGTTGAGTGTTGATGGGTCTCGGTCGCGTATAGAGAAGCAGAGGAGTGGAGGAGTGGGTGGCGTGGCGTCCGAGTCGACGGTTCCACCAAACAAACTCATGGCCATAACAATGGGTGTGGTTTCAGTTCAGCGATTCATTGGGGCTTGGGCCAGGGCCACGCAATGGATATTTTGGTACTATTTTAACTTTTTCGAGCATACAAAAGAATTTCATGTGTTCAGCGTTGCTGTCCTATGTCGCTTTCTTCTTCGTTGATCCGGATTAATGATTACGGCCGGGCCGGTCCGGGTCGATCGGTACAGTAGAGACATGTGAAAATGGGATGTTGTGATAGGTGAGACTGTGAGAGAGTGAAGCGACCTCACATACACATTGCATTGCATGAGTGACACATGAATGAATATGATGCAAGCCAAAGCTCAAAGCTCAAAAGCATTGGGATGGCTGTTGCGATCGATGACTTATTGGGGAATGTGAGAGTCCCATCCCATGATGCCATTTTGCTTTGCCTTTTAACGTCACATGCATTCACTCTCTCTCCTTCTCTCCCTCAAGCCTCAATTTCAATTTTCGAAAATCGAAACAGGACTAAGGACCAGTAATGGGAATGACCAGGTCCATTGTTTTATTGGGTGCCTAATTACTCCATGGCCAAGATCAACAACTTACAACTTTCAAGCAACATATGTTATTACTTATTAGTCAGTTAACTCTCTTTTTAAGCAATCCAAATTAAGATCTTCCGCGATTTGCCAAGTGCATGCATGCACCTTCAATAATATAATCCAACTTCATTTTTTTCTTCTTCTCCTGGGTGGCTGGGTAGATGCCCAATGCAACAAGCTCTCTCCTTGAAATCAGCTCTTTTTTTTTTTTTATCATTTCAACGTTGGATCGATCGGAGGAAAAACCAGGTCGTGATAAAAACTTTTAGATTCGAAACAGGGTTTCAGTGAAGAAACTTGCCGGTTGCCAGGCAGAAGGTGGAAGGATCAATGAATGAGAGCATATGCAGTAGAGAACTTGAAAAGACTATTAATAAAACGTACTTGTGATTCATATTCTGATTTAAAGCGATGTCTTTGGTTGTTTGCAAATTTGGGAGGAAAACATAGGTTTTCACCGTGGAAGGGAAACGAGTATAATTTGAAAATTTTGAGACTCAACAATTATTTCTCCTCATCCTTGTTCCCTGCAACTGGAAGAAGGAACTATATAAGACTATTAAGTATATATACCTCCTAAAGACAACTGCATGTGGAGATGTGAATGTGGCCAACCTCAATCCATTTTTCTTTCCCTCCCCCAACAGAAAACAAAATGTTTAAGAATAGAAAGAAAACTTGAAATTGATGAAAAATCACCAAAATTTGTTGTTTAGTATCATTTAAGTAATTCGTTTGGTACTTATTCTTAAGGGTGACTATTTTTTCTTGGAATCATCCTTTTCATTGAGCAATGGCGGATGTCATGTCATTCTTTAAAAATGGGAATCGCCTAAAAATCAGGAAATAACCAAAAATAGTGATCCCTCAAGATGGGCTGATTTCAGGAATCATTTTTCTACCGATTTCTCCAAAATAGCAAAAATCGACCAACCAAACAGATTAAAAATCACCCATTTTTCTTTATCCCATGTGGCTCCAATGTGACACTGTTGTTTTGAAAAATGCCATCAATGCCAAACATCACCAATCTGTGATAAGGTCAGTAGAGCCCACTTATACCTTGCTCTATCCCCACCCCTTTAATACTCCTTCATTGTGTATTATGTAACAAGTGGGGACCCGTGCAATGCACGGGCTTTGTTAAGTGAGAGTACTAAAACAACAAAGAAAAAATTGACAATATTATATACTGATAATTTTTATTAATTAGTATAAATTAAATAAAAGAAAAAAGCAATAATTCATAACAAATAATAATTTATCGACAGTAAATAAAGAGAAGGAAAATTCATTTTTAATAATTCATTGATAATTTCTAGTAATTTACAATAATTGATCTAATTTCTATTCAATTGCTATAATTACTAATAATTTACAGTTAAATGAATAGAAGAAAAATAAATAATTCCATGGAATGCATTATTATGATTCCATCCTTATCTGATCCCAATCGATTATATCTAAATCATTATCATATAAGCCTTATTCCAGCTGTGGGGTCGGCTACATAAATCCTGTTTCAACATAGTTAAATAATGAGAATTCAAATCATTTGTTATTATTGACTATTTTTTATCATGATTTGAATGTAATAAATATACATGCTTGTATTTCTGTGCTATTAATGTATTAACAAAATTGATTTAAATGCTAGACTTACCTCTCATGAAAGTTATTTTAAATTTAATTTATTATTCTGATATACAATATCAAAATTATTGTTAGCTCAGTTTATTAATGATATGTAACATATTGATGATTTATTTTATATATATACCCTTATTAAAAATGATTTACTCAATTTTATTAAAAATACTTTCAGATCCAAAAAGCTTCCCCTTGAAGAGGCAGCAATGTCATTTACAAAATGATGGTAAAGCTGAATACTCCAAGAGGTGGAAACAGGTATGAAGTGCTTTTCTATTCTTTTTCCTTTCTTTTTTTTTATTTTTTTGCCTTTTACTTTTCAATGCAAAATTGAAGGTAGAATTTTGTGGAACTACAATTGCTATATTGAAAGAAATGGATTTGCTAAATTAATTGGTTCTTCAGAAAATCTTTTCTTTTCACATTAAAGAATACTCGTGTATGTGTGAGAGAAAATGAAAGGATAATTGTCTCTTCCTCTATTGTCACTGAACAATAAACTTATGTTCTTTTTTTAGATTTATGTGGGAAGTGGAAAAAAATTATTTTCTTGAGTATCACTTAACTTGCTATTTTCTACGTGGATAAATAACTTTCCCACCTCGGGGGAAGGTGTCAACACTTAAATGGGATAAAAATATCCTTTTAATAATAAAATTTTATGGCTAAAACAGTCATTGCCTTATTTATATAGAAAATAAAAAAACATGATTAAATGCACTTATCTAAGTAAATAACTTACCAAAAAGCAAATGGGGCCTAAAAGGGAAACTAAAAAGCATAAATTAGCGGTCTTCTATTTGGGAGTGCTTAATTGCTTATTGGATAAATAAATGCTTATAGGATATGTGTGTATCCTATTAAACACTTATTAGTGTTTGGTGAACAAAAAATGCTTCTAGTATAGGTATTTTGAAATTACGTAATGGACCAAGACGAGCCAAAAACACATTAAGTGCTTTTTCAAAAAGTGCTTGAAAAATGTTAAAATTTTGATCTTATTCAAAATGGACTTATTGGTGTTGTCAAGGCCTAAAATAAACACTTTTTTCCAATGCTTAAAAATAAGCACCCCAAACAGGGGCTGGGTCTATTAGTAGGAAGCCCATATTATTAACTTGAGAAGTAAGAACTAAGAAGCATAACTCAGGAAAACTTTGTAAAATCCAGAAATTTATCACAGCTCCTTTGAGGTGAGAAATTCTTTTCGGTAATTAATGAAAAGTAAACAAGAACAATAAAATCCTAAATTTTGGAAATGCTAAATCATTAGTAAAATTGCTAAATTTTCCCAAAAAAATATAGACAATTTCATTGATGCATCCTTTCCTAACGAGTACAAAAAATGTATGCAATTTTCAAAGTGTCCACAACAATTACTGTATCTATGCATTCCCTAAAAAAAAATTTTGAGGACATCACCCATCAATGGTGATTTTGTTTATTAGTCTGAGTCAAGACCCTAACAAATAAAAAGGGCACTATGATTGAGGAATAGGTCTGTTGACTGGTCCAATAATTCGGACCATGCCCTTTTTATATCCGGGCCAACCCAACCCTGTACATCGAGACCACGATTGATTTTTGACTGACACATAAATAAATTTCATACATTCGAAACACGGTGGGATGTAGTTGTAAGGCCTATGTGAAGAACGCTTTG